ATGAATATATCCCATAATATTATTGGGAGTACCAAATCCCAGAATCGGAAATAAGTTTAACATAAATAAAATTTTAGGAATACTCAGTAAATTCTAACTTTCTTTCTTTATAGTGTTGATATTAAAAAAAAAGACTACATAAAAAATAAAGTCAAGATTCTAAAGCCGAACCATCAGAAGTAGTTAGACATGTCAATCAATATATATATATATATATATATATATATATATATGAAATCGGATTAAATAGAAATAGTCTTTCTTTACAAAATAGTTTAAGAAAAATTTAGGTGACATTTTTCTAAAATAATATACAATATTTTAGATATTTTATATATGTTATATCATATTTTGGGTGTTTTTAATATTTTAAGCATATATGTTTTATGTTCTTTTATAGAAGATAATTTTATATTGTTTACCCGCATCTTTCATTTATAATTATTACTTAATATTAATACCAAATATTTTATATATGTTATTTATATTTTAGGTGTTTTAAATATTTTAAACATATATGTCTTATGTTCTTTTATAGATGCTAATTTCATATTGTTTAGAACAAACTTATATATATAAATTACATCATATATTAACTCCAAATATTTAATTTATATTTATTATTTCATATTGTTTACCTAAATCTTTTTTTTATTTTTATTATTTAATATTAATACCCGTGCATCACACAAGATGCACACTAGTGTAAGCAAAATAGATTTCAAAGTACAACAGGTAACATCGAACACTCCGACCGGCTGAAAATCGATTCGCCTCCTTTCTCCTCGCCGGTAGAACGCCGCGTACCTACAAACAACTCTCACAACGGAGGGGTTTTTTGGTGAAGAGCCTCCGATGCTTAAGTCAGTGTTTGTTCTACTCAATTTTCAAGAGTAAAATGAATAAAATCTTGTCCAACAAGAAAAGCTCACCTTTATATAATTATATATATAGAGGTAAGATACCTGACCTAGGAGCTGCCCGGATATGATGAGCTGTCTGCCCAAAACTGCCCAGGCCTACCCGTCCGTACACACACAGTGTGCATGTGTCAGAAGCGGTTATCGCCATATGCCAATATATTTGCAGTACGTGTCCTCTGCACATGGGGTAAATATTCCCTGAATATTCCTTTGAAATTCCCTTAAAGGCTCGTGCTCTCTCGTGTTTAAGTCAATCCTGAGACTGCTCTCCACCTATGAAGTGGTCGATCAGCTGACCCCTTGCTCGATAAGTCGATCTTCGACCAAATATCTCATGTACTCGAGACCAACGTATATCCCATACCGAGATTCTTCTCACCCCACTCCCGCAGTGTTCGACCACTTCCATTCAGCTCGATATTGTTCGATCAGCGTGGCTTTCCCGGTGTTAGATTCGTGTGACTGGTTTAGTGGACCGGTTTACTCCTTTAAGTATATAATATCCCACATCAACAACAATGTTTGATGAATTGAAATGATACAGACTAGAAAGACGATGTTTTGGTCCACATTAACTTGAGATTGAAAGGAAAAAAAATTAAATAATCTTATCCTAATTTCACTATGACTGGGTAGGTTAGCAATACATATTTTGTATCTAGATCAATGAATAACAATTATAAAACCGGATATAGTTACAAACAAAAATACCCTAAATAATTACGATCTTTTCCAAAATAATATTTCTACACAGGTCAAATGCCCTATGTCCTGCTTCCACAAAATATTAGAAACATTTCAATTTAAATTTAAAAGATAATAATTTGATCATTTTAACTACTAAAAAATGTATAGCAAACCTGAGATCGAATTAGTCCTTCCAGAAAATGATATGTACTCAGTGAAAATCCTGCAATGAACAATATCTGGTTTGCATGATCGTCTTCGTAATTGATTATTCAGTGAACCTCTGTGTTGTTGGCGCACATCATTTGAAGGCAAACATCGTGTGAAGGATCGTATCCATGGGAGAGGTAAACAAAATCTATCAACTATGTGATCAAAGAAGGGGGGGGGGGGGAACTGGAAATTACCTAACAAACAATAAAAAAAAGTAAATAAAAATAAAATTCAATAAAAAAAATAAATATAATATGAATATGCCTTGGTTGAATTGATTTTCACCTTAAACTGCTATTGATGCAAAAATATAAACTCACAATCTACGTAACTGTCGTTGAATATAAATTCTATCTCCTAATTTAGTCACGCAAAATAAATCCTTCTACGAGACTCTAATAACTAGTTAATTCCCAACATCGTGAAAAATTATTTTAGCAATAGCATTAAATACAAGAGACCGACAGTCTAAGCAATAAATAACTAATCCATTAAATATTAACTTGTTCAGTTGTTTCGCCTAAGAATGATAACTCCTAAATCCGGTCAATTATCTATCTTAGTTCTTCTAGTGAAAGACACAAGATCTAAATCGGACTCAAGTATCAATAAAGCAATTGATTGTATGCATAAAATAATAGGTGACCAATCTATCAACTAAACATGACAATCATAAAAATATTCATACGAAACATTTATGCGAATAATATATGAATTGGAATAAAAACTAATTCGATCTCACAGTAGTAGGTCCGGGGTTTTGATCGTCTTCAACCAAGACAAAAATAAATTAGCTGCGCAAGGCTATTATAATACAAGATAAAATACAAAGAAAAAGATAATGAAAGAAAAGAGAGCGAATGAGAGTAGCCCTTGATGTTGTGCTCCGCCTCCGTGTGCTGCTTATGTGAGTTTTTGTTCCAGTAGATCTCTTCTATTCTTTTTCTTTTTCTTACCACTTGTGGCTGAACATAATAGGCTAAGTATTGTTTCTGGGCTTAATCGTTAAATTAGGCTCAGTTGAGAAATTTATTCCAGAATAATACCAACATGGCCATGTTGCATCTGAACTTATAATATCGACACTGCCATGTTAGTTCAAGCGGTTGGGACTTTAAAGTCAATGTTCAAAGTGCACAAAAGTTGTCAATCTGCACAAAAATTNAAAAAAAAAGAAAAAAAAAATAGTAGTTTTCACTCGAAAATGATAATATTGTCAAACATATGTCAATTAGTTCACTAAATCACACATATTTTTTACGTATCAGATTCCTAGATAATCAAAGGGATTCCCAAATTTGAATATCGGACCATTGAGTACTTGGTACCTAACCCTCAGCTTAAGGTTATCTCTTTCTTCTAGATAGCTCCTCCAAAACCAAAAATCTCCATTCATATGTCTAACCTCACTGAGCTTTTCTCTACTGAAAAATCTTCCCTTAATAACCTTGCTCAAGAGATTCGATTTAGTTAAAACCCTCCAAAGTTGTTTCATGATTAAAGCTTCATTAAAAGCTCTAAGGTTTCTAAAGCCTAATCCTCATTTTTTTTTAGACCTAAACAGAATATCCCAAGAAGCCCAATGAATTTTGTGCCCTCATTTTTTCAGTTTTTCCCCACCAGAAATTTGTTGAATCCCTGCGAATATCCAAACAAATAGAAGATGGGATCATAAGCAAGACATCACATACGTTGGTAATGCACCAATGACAGACTTAAGAAAAGTTTCTCTTCTTACTTCACTCAGAACGGAATTCTTCCAATTTGAGATTCTATTCCTAACAACCTCACTCACAAACTTGAATGTTTATCTTTTAGATCTTTATATACCTACTGGAAGCCTTAGATATTTAGAAAAAGTGAACCTTGAGATCCATTCAGGATTGACAAACATTATTTTTATTATTAGGTTGGGTTAGGTTGGGTTGTGAGTAAAGATGGTCTAACTGAAAATGGAGGAAAAACTAAAATAATTTAATAAAAACTTTGCCTACGATATAAAATATTAACTTTTATTTACATATTATAGTTTAATATTATTGTTTGCTTATTAAAATTATTTGCTTCTTGTAACTCTTGTTCCNTAGGAAGACTACACACACTACAAGACGAACAAGAAAAATAAGAAGCTCCCCATAGGTGAATACACAAGCCCCCCTTCCCCAGGAGAATAACACAAGTTACACACATGAGAATAACACGCTCCTCCAAAAGAAGAGAAAACAAAACAAACAAAAGCACCAACAAAAATCCATAGGCTAACACAAATAAACCCAAATAAAAAACCTAAACAAAACTACTAAACTAAAACCCTCATCTACGGCTAACGAGCAACACTGCATGTCGCCGTGCCACCAACCACCCAGAGTCGTCACCCCACAAACTGAGACTCGGTTCAGAGCACCGAGCCTGGAACTGCAGTAAAGGCCTAACAAGGCCCAAACCCCCCAAATGCTTGATCCTAAGAGGCTGACCACCCACAGGCCAGAACGCCAAAATCAACCCCAAAGCTTCACTCCACTCCTACCGACAACCAAAATCTTACAATCCTCGGAGCCACCAACCAACACCACCGGCGGAGCCCATCGCCCAACCCTAGGAGCGACAAAGAACTAGGGGGCAGAGCACCAACGACTCCAAGCCTAAAACCTTACTACAGCCTCCAGCGAAGCTAGCCGACAGCCACTGGAGCTGAAACACCCACCACCCACAAGAGTCCACCCACAGCAACAGAGAGACGGAAAAACAGGGAAAAGAGAGGAACTAACCTTGACACCGACCATCGGTCAGTGCCTAGCCTAACCTTCACCTCGTCGACGCCTCCACAATCCGAGCGGCAACCAGGAGCAAACGGCGAAAACCCAACGGCCGAAAGGCCCTCGAAACGACAGTAGGCCGAGAGAAAGCACAGGCCGACGATAGTGGAAGTGCGGCGGTGCGATGCGCCTCGCTGAAGAGGAAGCAAAAACTAGGGCTAAGGTGGGAATGATTGATTTGAGGATTTAGTTTAGAGAGAGAAAAAAATTTGGAGACTTATTTTTTTTATCAAATTAAAATGTACTCAATTCCAACCAATTCAAATGTGCACGTGAACAAGAAAAAAGGAAAAAAGAAAAGAAAAAAAAAAA